AGTAAAACTATAAAATACTCTTTTATAGGCTATTTAGAAAATTCTAAAGGGTATAGATTTTATAACCATGATACTAGATCATTAATAGAGAGTCATGATGCTCATTTATTATAAAATATAGATGATGAAAATATTTTAAATAAGCCTATTGACTTATATAAAATTGATAAAGATAAGGGTCGGGAAGACCATGTTGCTCAGACTCCCTCTACATTTGGTGAGAATGATTCAATTGAATCAAGTATACCATATAGGCCTAAAAGAACTAAAGCCTCACCTACGACTTTAGAATAATTTTATGTATTTATGAATGAAGATAATTACTCTTCAATGAGTGAAGATACAATATATGAACTTTGAAGCTATAATGAAGCTATTAGCTCACATGACTCAGCTAAGTGGATTGAAGCCATGGATGATAAACTTGATTCTATTAAACAAAATCAAGTATGGGAGTTGGTTGACCTCCCTAAAGATAAACAAGTCATCGGTTGCAAATGGGTCATAATGAAAAAGCTTAATGCAAATGGATCCATTGATAAATATAAAGCTAGGTTGGTAGCTAAAGGATTTACCTAAAGAGAGGGCATAGATTATGTATAAACTTATTCTCCAGTCGCCAAATTTTCATCTATTAGGATCATCCTTGCATTAGTTGCATATTATGATCTATAATTATTTCAGATGGATGTCAAAACAACTTTCTTAAATAGAGAATTAAAAGAAGATATATACATGAAACAACCATAAAGATATGTAATTAAAGGCCAAGAAGACAAAATATATAAACTTAAGAAATCTTTATATGGTCTAAAACAGTCTTCTAGGCAATGATACTTTACTTTTCATAATCCGATCACTGAAATTGATTATATAACCAATAGGTTATACCATTGTGTATGTCTGGAATAGTGAGAGCAATTTTGTTATATTGTCACTATATATGGATGATATTTTGATTGCCGGTAATGATATTGGCATGACTAACCATACCAAATCATGGCTAAGTTCTCATTTTGAGATGAAAGATTTGGGAGACGCCTCATATGTATTGGGCATTAAGATAACAAGAGATAGAAGTTCAAGACTTCTATGTTTTATCTCAAGAAATTTATTTAAAAAATGTTTTAAAAATATTTATGATGGGAAATTGCAAACCCATAGATACACTTATTTGTAAAGGCTTGAAATTATCAAAGAAAACGTGTCTATTAAATGATAGTGACAAAACTGAAATGGAAAGAATCTCATATGTTCAAGTTGTAGGATACATAAATTATATCATATTGTGTACAAAACCTGATTTGAGTCATACATATGGTCTTATAACTAGATTTCATAATAATCTTGGAATGGCTCATTGGCAAGCTGTAAAAGGATACTCAGATATATTTAGAAAACTAAAAATTACAAGTTGTGCTTCAAAGCTGAGAACTTAGAGGTTACTGGGTACTCTGATGCAGACTTTGCAGGAGACCCAGATGATAGAAAATCAACCTCAAGAATTGTATTCTTCTTTGGAGGTGGATGTGTTTCTTAGTCTGATAAGAAACAAGGTTGTGTAGCTCGGTACTATGGAAGCGGAGTATATTGCTTGTAGCATTGCTGCAACTTATGCCGTCTGGATTAAAAACTTCATAAATGATTTGAAGCTGGATATAACCGACGGACCTGTTAAAATTTTTTGTGATAATCAGACTGTTATTTCATGAATTAGAAATGGAGCTTATAGTTCCAAAGGTAAGCACATTGAAATTGATTATCATCATATTTATGATATTATTGGCAAGACTGAAATAACTGTGAGTTATTTGCCATCTTTAGATATGATTGCAGACCCTTTAACAAATGGATTGAGTAAATATTATCAAAGCATGTAGTTTTGATGGGACTTATAAATATTTAAGTCAGGAATTCCCAAATGAGATATTTTTTGATGTCTTGGTCATGAGAGAAAAAACCGTATTAGTGTGAAAAATCATGATATTACTTTGGATATTTTTTTTTATGAGACGTATAACCGCACTTGCGTGAAGGCCTCAAGACAAAAATATGCACATAGATGTTAAATTCATTCAGTGATAAGTGCTTTATGATATTTCAATATATATAGCCCTCATAGGTAAATGGGAGATGTTGGTACATGTGTGTAGCCATGGGGCCTTTAAACGTACAATATTTCTCTCTCTTATAATTTAATGTTTATCACTAAAAATGAGGCTTCGTAGAGGGGGAAAGTGCGGTTATCTAAATGCTAGAAAGTAACCACCCACTTCCTAGGATTACATGACCATATTTTATCAGAGATTTTAAGAGGAAGCCGAACGTTGGAGAACAATCCCATCCATCCCTCTTTACCTCTTTGAGAAGGGTTTCATGGCCATGGAGAGGTACACAGAAGTTTATAGAGTTCTCACAGTTTTGGTAAAAGCTTGATCTTTGCGATCAATAGTCTCATGACACTGCCCTTAATCCTAGGAGTGGATCCATCTCTCCCCTCAAGTTTTTCAACAGATTTGGGATAGTTTGAAAAGGGATTTTCTCTCTGATTTGGGATGTTGTTTCAGAGAAAGCCCTAACTATACTGATTTGTCAAGAGACCTTAATTGATTGTTAGAGAGAGAAAACGAATATGGTTTTCTATTTTATTGGGGAAACAACATGCAGAGCTAAGGATTCTATATGTACAATTGCTTGCTCTTGTAAGTTTACAATTTACACTATATTGTTTATCTTTGTTTTCACATAATCAAAAGCAAAATATTGATTACTTTGTCATGTCGTCATGCTCTTTGCTTCTCATTCATTAGTAAAAGACTATGTTTTGAGCTCTAATTTGTGCCATAAACAGTATTTCCATAAAAACAATTATCACAAATAATCGCAGAAATTTGCATGTATAAGATTTTCTTTACGCAATGATTTACTTTACAAAATGATTTGCTATAAACAATATTTCATTTACACAATGATTTTCCATATTAACACTGAAATCTGCATGTATTTGTTTAAGTTTTTAAAAAAAAGGGAAAAAAAATTCATACCTTCAATAAGCAACTGTGGTTTTGAAGAATATAGTAGGGATACAAATTTATATTTTAGGTTTTTTTAAAATAAATTTTTTTTTTCAAAAGCATGAAAGTAGCAATGGCTGTAATATACAAAACAAGAAAAAAAAAATCTTTCAAAAAAATGATAGGTAAAAAAAAAAAGCGCTTTTTTGGCTGGATTTAAATCGTATTATGAAAAAAGCTCTTTTTAAACATTTTGCGAACTATGCTATGATACCTTTGACTGGTTCAGTATTAGATCACCATTGCATGGCCTGAAGGTCTGGAGAAGATTTTGTTTCTAATGTTATTATGATTCGAATCAAGATTCTCTTCACATTTTATAAATGCCGCTTAGAGCCCGGCCGGCCCAGTTTCCTGACCGGACCTTTATTTTTTCATTCTTTTTCTCTATTTTTTTCTTTAATTTTTACCATGCTCGACGCTAAAACGATTGTTCTAAAATAACGTTGAGGCTCTAAAGAATCAAAGTAAAGTACAACTCCAAATAGTGTCAAAAGATACTGCTTCAGTAGTACAAATATTGTAATGGTCTAAAAATTTATTTTCATTTATAATTGTAAAATTTAAAATTTTAAAAATAGTGTTTATTGAACAAATCTATGGACACTCAGAAATCTAGATAATTGATGTTTCAAAAAATGTATTACAAAATGCACTATTTTTTAGACTTGAAATCTATTTTCTCTCTTGTCCATGTATTTTGAAATCCAAATAAATGATAGTGCTAATTTGGATGTACCCAAAATTGCAATAGTTTTTAGATTGCAATCCAAAAATCATTTGACATGGATTTATCGTTTGGACAACCACAAGATTTTACTAGCGTTTTAGATTTTAGATTGAAATAAGAAATTCTACAGTCTCAAGGCAAAAGTTATTAAAAAAAAAAAATTAAAGTCAGACTTAAATTTTTTTTTATTGCTCTCTCCTTCTGACCCAACAACTCACACCGTGAAACTTCAGAAATCCCAAATCTACTCTCTCTCTTTCTACTTCATAAACCCCAAATCCACTGTCTCTCTCTAAACTACATCAACCTGAAGATGAGAGAAGAAGAACAATAATAACATGAGCTTGGGTCTATTGTTAAAGGGGAGAAAAGAAGAGGGAAGCGATGTAATCTTTAATTCACCATTATGGTTTGCTCGAGAATTTGTGATTGCATCACGGTTAGAGGGAGAAACACGCATCAAGATGAGAGGGAGCGTTAATTGCGTAGTTATCCCCTTCTTGTTGAGGGAGAGAATCGCAAAGAGAAAAATAAACTTTAATAGCCAAACGTTTTGAAAAGAAAAAGATTTCGAATTTTTTGCAATTCGTATTTGAAAAACTGTATTTTTTATTAGATAACAATTTATTTTTATTTGACATCCAAACTAGCGAGGATTTTTGAACAATAAAACGTTTTTCTAGCAAATTTTTTAATGCGCCTATTGTTTACCGGCGCACCTCATCATAAGCTTTTTCGAATGGGTGGGGTTTGTATAGAGTCGAGGCCCTAAACAATCAAAGTAAAGCCTACCTTGAAATAATATCGAGAAATATAGTTTTAATACTAAAAATCTTTGTGATAGCCTCAAAATATATTTTCATCCTTAGTTATTAAATTGGAAGCTTAAAAAATAGTGTAGATCGAGCATACCTATAAAAACTTGAAAATAGATGGTCCGTTACGATATACGTTATTTTGAAAATTTAAAATGCATTTTTTTTTTTTTTAATATCCGTGCATGCTGATGTTGAGGTGATCAATTTGAAGATATTTAAGCATCAAAACGAAGGAAGCTATAGTAGAGGTAGGATCTACTTCGATCGTTGAGCGCCTCGGCTCTATATAAAGTTTGCCCTTTTGCAATAGGTTCCCATTTGTCGAAAAATAATAACGAGGGGCTCAAGTCTCCCGCTTTGGTTGTGTCTCTGGCTAGGTGTTTTGTTTGGCAGAACAAATTTGACTTCTTCTGGAGCCAAACGTTCCCTTCCGCACGCGAAAGTGGTGCAGTGAGTGAAGGGAAATACGTCCAAGATGGGAAAGTTCGACTTCCGTAAGTCAGAACCCACGGAAGCCAAACTTTCGAAAAGTTTAGGCGCCCCCCGCCCCTATATCAGTTGCCCTAGCGAGCCCTCGAGAAAATACCACTTTCTCTCTCCTCCTGAAAATCTCTCCCTCTTCCTCTCTCCCCTCCTGAAATCCCCTCTTTCTCTCTGCAGGAGTGCAGCAGGCAAACATTACACAGGTATTCTCTCTTCCCCGAAAATTTCTCCCTCCCTCGCTCCTCTTGTAAATCCATCTCTACCGTTCTTCTCTCTTTCACTCTGCTCCTCCCTCTTCCCTCGTCTCTCTGCTTTATTTCTTGGTCCCTCTCTCTCCCCCTAATCTCTTTAGCATTAAAGCTCAACCGAGGCGCTCTCTCCCATCGAATCTCAACCAAGGCTCGCCCTGTCTTCTCAAGTTTCATTCCGAACTAGTAAGGTGAGCTCTTATCAGCTCAAAGACCCTAATACTAGTTAGTTGATCCATATGTGCCCTATGCCATCTAGAGTTCAGTGTTTTTTGGAGTATCTAATAATCATGTAGGTTTCATCCTTGAATCTTTCTCCATGAACTATAATGGGCTCTCTGATTTGTGTGACACCGTTTCTCATGCAATGAGATTTATTTGTGACAAAAGTGGCGAGTTTGGAGGTTTTCTGCGACATTGTTTCTCAAGTAGTGAGATTTTCTTATATTTTCGTCCTTATTATTTCGAGAATTTTGGATTATTGAATGAAGTTTACGGACATTGATTCACAGGAGCCTGAACATTATGTTTTGTATTTGTTTGATTGTTTGAGCTGGATATAGATGGCTTTAATCTGTGGTTTTTGTCGTTTCCATGGTTTGATAATCTGCATTTGGTTCATGGTTTGAATTATGCGAGTGCGGATTACATAGTCTTCCTAATCACGAACAAGACTTGTTTGATAAAATGCCTAATAGATGCTGTAATATAAAGGTCTTTGTTTAGTGGGTCACTTTTTTTTTTTTGAAGGGTTTTAGCTTTGATATGAAGATGTAGTCTATAGTTTATTTTTTCGAATGTATTTTAATGGAAGAATTTTCAGATATTTCTTATCTTATAGTTTTATTAAGCTTTTTTCAGTTAGTAGTTGTTATTTTTTGTTTAATAGGAGGATAGTTTGGAGTAGTTATTTGGCAAGGAATTAATGTTGGATGAAGTCATCATATCAATCTTTTGATAATCATATTTGTTGAAATATTTTGGAGTTTCATTGCCAAAATCCCTTGATTGTTTGTATGATTAATCTCTAGTTTACAGGAAACGTTTACCTTCCTGCAATCAAGCACGCTTTCTACCTCCATTTCTCTCTCTCTCTCTCTCTCTCACTCTCTCTCTCCCCCTTCCCCCCGACAGCGCAACCATGGACTCTGAGACCCTTCAGCCTGATCCTGAACCAGCGAGCCCATCCTCTTCTAGCCCAAGCTCCAGCCCAGACCGTAATGGCCCAGCCCAACCCCCAGACCCTACACTTGAATATGAAATCTCAGAGCAAAGCCGAAAGGCCAAGGAGCGACATGACCAAGCCATCCAAGACCTCCTCCTAAAACGCAGAGCTCAAGCCCTAGCCATTCCCACTAATGACTCAGCTGTTCGAGCTCGTCTTCGCCTCCTGAATGAACCCATTACCCTATTCGGAGAGAGAGAAATGGAGCGAAGGGATCGATTGCGATCCATAATGGCCAAACTTGATGCGGAGGGCCACCTAGAAACCCTAATGAAGGCCCATGAAGAGCAGGAAATGGCTGAGAAGGAGAGAGAAGATGAAGAACCCATGGCTTCGTACCCTTTTTACACAGAGGGTAGTAAGGACTTGGTTGATGTGAGGTTGGATATTTCGAAGTTTTCATTCTCTAGGGCTTCTTCTAGGTTAGAGAGAGCGAGGAGGAGGAGAGGGGATCCCGATGAAGATGAGGATGGAGAGCTGAACTATGCATTGGAATATGCGTCGGGCTTGACACTTCAGTGTAGTGAGATTGGGGATGATAGGCCTCTCTCTGGTTGTGGTTTTTCGCATGATGGTACACTGCTTGCTACGAGGTGTGTTGCTTCTTTTTTACTCCATTAATGGCTTCAGTTATTGAGTTTCGTTATTATTATATTTTTTGGGTGATTCATGGAATTGGATTTTGTTTCTCATTTTATTTATTGATTTATTTATTTACTTGTAGATGGATGAAGAGAGAAAAATTGTTTCTTATTACCCTTGAAAATTATTGTGTGGCCTTAATGTGGTAGTCTCTAGAGTAATGTTCTAAAACTCAGGTAAGTTGCTGAGTGGCTCGGACGTGGGACCTGGCTAAACTCAGCCGGTTCCTATGTTTTGATGTTGTAACCTATACAGACTCGATCGAGTTGGAAAATTTGGACTCAGGACCCTGCTAATTCTCGAGTCCGAGCCTTGTTTTTTGAACGTTGCTTCATAATGCATGATTTAAGTTATTTACACAATGTCCTTGCCTTATATTTGATCACTTTGAGAAGAATTGCAGGTATTTGTGATTATTGAACTAGTGGCTGATTTTTGTTGGGTTTTACTTGGTGGTGATATTAACACTTTTGGACTATATTGGTGGACTAATGTTATTCTTGGTTTGTTGTTGGATTGTGATGCCTTTTTGAGACATTTTCTTAAAGTCATACTTTGATCTTTAAGATTAGTTGTGGTATTTGAAACTTTTAAACAATCAATCAGCTTGCTAGTTTTTTATTAAACAAAAAAAACAAAAAAACAAAATCGACTTGTTGGTGTGTATTCATTTGAAGGTTTTGAGTACAGGTATTTCTATCTCAAATGCTGGTGCTCTACTAAGTTTTGGAATTTTTTTAGTCTCCTTGAAGATTCACGAGGCATTTACCTTAAAAAAAGAGGACTTACAATGCAGATGGTGCTCAAAGGTTAGATCAAGGGCGGAGTTTTTATCTTCGACAATGATGGTGAGGGGCTTTATATCATATTGCAATAGGCTATTAATTGAGCACTCTTCTTATCCTTTGAAAATCCGGGGCCAATGTTCACTCCTAGATGAAGTTTGACTTAGAGACCTTGAAAATGAACAAATTTTATGAATACTAACACTGATGCATGAATATCAGTAGTTCCTGTTAGAATGAGGGCAAGATAGCTCCCTAGAACTAATTGGAAGTGATACAAAAATGCCTTCATCACTAATAAAATAAAGAAAGATAGAAAAGATCTCTTGATGGTAACTAAGGAAAATGTAGCTCGTTTAAAGCTTTTTTAAAAAATATTGAGATGGAAAATGATGTCACCAATGTATCTTTTTATCAGGTATCGCGCAACATAAGCTATGGAATGATTCGGTATCTTGCCAAGGGTTATTTTTGCAAATTTATCATTAGAACTTCATTTGTTTATGTTTGTAACAAAATAATAATCACACTTCAGAAATATGAATGGATGCATACTCCTGCCATATTTTGAGTGTATTTTCCCTGATTTGCAGATGACCTTTCTATGGCCCTCGACAAATAGGACATGTTGTTGCATTATCTAAAATAAATTGATATTGGGAAATTGTCTGAAGTTGTCAACTATTGTAGGGTCCATTGGTCATTTAGTTTCCCATGGTTGTGGTCAGACCAATCTTTTTCATCTTAGCGGTTATATATTTCTCAGCAGCACCAGGTGTTAAATTTGTGACGCGAATGCCTTACGTTGGCTTGTCGACTGGCATCTTTGTTCTTTTCTTTTGCTTGGGTACCTCATTTGGTTCCCCTTTTTTTTGATAATTTTTTTTTATTGCCGTTTATGTTTTTTTAATTTCTTTTCTTCTGGGGATGAGTATATTCGAGTCCCATCCCTTTGCCGCAGTCATCACTCATGCCTTCTCTTGATCCACCATTTGCGTCAATACTAGCTCATGGCATCTAATCATAAATAAAAGACTAAACATCTGAAGTATTTATCGCAAGACACCTTAAGTATCATCTAAAAGCTGCATGCAAATGATATAATCCAAGCATAGCCATGATCCTGTCCCTCTTCCTTCGACCAATTTTTGTATGGCACACACATTATGTGAAAAAGGGCTTGCAGAGAATGTCCTCTCCATACCAACCTTGTAAGAAACTTGGCCCTCTCCTCCTTATGCCTGCAATTTAAGAACTTACATACTTAATTTCTCATCTATATCTTTCACTTTTCAACCAATTTTGTCACCATTTGAATGTGAAGGTATGTCTGCATGGTGGAAGAGGGTTAAAAGCGCTCTGAAGTCGAGGTAGCATGGGTCCCATCACCTCTTGCGGTCTCGGATGATACTTTGCTAATGGTCTTTTATTGTATTTTATTTTTTTACTTGACTAATAATTCTAGACTTTTAAAAGTTAAAAATGACATCTACTCCTCCTTTTTTGGTACAAAGAATCCCCCTGTTTCTATGTTGAGAGGCTTTGAGACATGCATCATACATCAATAGGTACACAATGGAAGGTTGTGTGATATGTTCTCAACTTTCTATTAATCCTAGCAGTGGTGTAAATTCTTCAAAAATACCTCCATCTCCTTAACCACCTCCCAGCATCTCTAGTACATCTCCTCTATCTCCCCCAGTCTGGATACCGCACTCTTGGTTTCCTCCTAATCAAACTCACTCTCCAGCCATGCTATCATTTCCTATTGTAGAACATTAAGTTCCAACCTATCCAGCATGGAATGTTACTACTATTATGCCATTCATGGTGTTTCAAAGAATGGGATGTTGTTACTACTATAAGTCACAGTCTTGCCTTTCTCACTTTTATGTGTTCGCTGTCATGTGGAAGAACTTGGCTTTCCTATCTCCTCCAACTACCTTCACATCTGCCTTGGAATTAATCTCCTCCTACTTTGCTCTATCTGCTTTGACAGCATCTAGTCATTATTCGTCCAAGTTAGCCCCACCTAGAGGAAGATTCTACATGATTGCAGATCAAATAGACTCTCTAAACTCCTTAGGAAATTGTGTTTATTGGAGCTAGCAATCATAATGGAAATTGATGATTGATTATAGAAAACAAGGGAAACAGAGGATCTGTTATTTGGATGTTTGTTTGTAATTATGTAACTGTTATCTAACACATCATGGACAAAAGGATTTTGATTTCTTGATTGCTATGGAGTACAAATCTTGCACAACTGTCTGCTGTGGCTATTTACACATAGCTACACATTGAATTTCTGGTAGTTTGTTTCCAATTAGTATTCTTGCTTCACTGTCTCTCGTTTTATTTTTTTTAAGCTTTTTGTCTTGATAAGTTGCTTGACAGTTAATTCTGTAATCTGATGCAATCGCCTTTGTGAAGTGCTTGGAGTGGAACAGCAAAAATATGGAGCATGCCACAAGTAGAAAAGGTTGCCACTTTAAAAGGCCACAAAGAACGCGCAACTGATGTTGCATTTTCTCCGGTAAGCAATCATTTAGCAACTGCATGTGCCGATCGCACGGCGATTTTGTGGAACTCAGAAGGGTCTCTTTTGCAAACATTTAAAGGTCATTTGGATCGCCTTGCCCGCATCGCTTTCCATCCATCTGGAAAGTACTTGGGCAGTGCTAGCTTTGACAAGACATGGAGACTGTGGGATATCAATTCAGGGGTTGAACTGCTCCTTCAAGAAGGTCACAGTAGGAGTGTTTATGGAATCTGTTTCCATTGTGATGGATCTCTAGCAGCAACATGTGGCTTAGATGCTCTAGCTCGTATTTGGGACCTTCGCACAGGAAAAAGCATTCTTGCTTTAGAAGGTCATATTAAACCTGTAAGTTAAGGATTGGTTTGAGATGCTCTCTTTTATTATAATCCACTGGCCTATGGAGTACTGCAGTGAACTGGGGTCATCACCATACAGTGAAATGATGGATGGTGATGAAGAGATAGTGGAGCTCACCAAGCCCATATGGTGGGTGTCATACTTCCTTGGTGTCCATCATTCATTCAATGGTGATTACCCTGGTAGGCTATTAGGCTATGGACTATACATTCGCCTTATTCATTATGTGATATGATTGGGCCATGCGTGTGTTCTCTCTGTTTTTGATTCTCATGCTCATCTTTTGTTTCTGTAGTGACTCGCTTTTTGATTTAGACATTTGTTGATTCAATCAATAAACTGTTTTCCAGATTAATTTTTCAGTGGCCGGCACTTTGATGTCATTTTCTTTTGGCACTTTCAGGTTCTTGGGATAGATTTTTCTCCCAATGGCTACCATTTGGCTACAGGTGCCGAAGACAATGCATGCCGTATTTGGGATTTGAGAATGAAAAAGACAATAAAAGTTATACCAGCTCATTCTCGCCTTATTTCACATGTCAAGTTTGAACCCCAAGAAGGATATTTCCTCGTTACTGCTTCGTATGATTGTACAGCCAAGGTATCATCCCTTCTCTTTTAATTATCTTGAAATTTTCCCAGATATATGATAGATGAATTCTGCATATGACGTATTATGTCGTAGTGATGTGTAAGAAAGCTGTGAAAGACAACTAATATGAAAGCATTTCATTAACATGCTGATTACTTGCGTAACTTCAACTGACTTCTATAGAACTTGGATGTGGTAGGAGTCCATTCAACTCACATATATGCAAAAGCTTATGCGTTGAATTTTTTTCACATTGTACTCACTTCAATAATGTATTGTTCAGTAGGGAGGAAGGAAATGTAATATCTAATACCCTTTTTGCCCTTATCCAAATTCGAGAAAATTAATCCCTGCCTGTCTTCCCCTGGTGCACTGTATCTGCATATTTCATTTTTGTGATAATTGGTATAATGTGTCGACATTTAAGTGAAATTCACAAATATGTTATCGAGGCTCCAACAAGTTTATCTTTTGAGTCTTGCTGATGTCACTTCAACCTAAAAGTTTAGCTATTTAGATCTGTTTTATTTTCGCAAATTTTATTTTGTTTGTGTAAACGAGTGTTTTAAAAGATGGATCTGTGCCCCGGATCGGGCACCCCAAAAACCCATACGGATCAGCAATCGGCCGAATCAGTCCGATTAAACCTTAAAAAAAATCCAAAAAAATTATTAAAATTCATTATAAATGTTGTTTTTTAGGAATTCAATAAAAAATACGGGTATTACATTATTAACTTTCATTTTTTTATCAATTTGTGAATATTGAGATGTTTTTTCCCTGTATGAACTTGTGTTAATCATTAAATTTGTATCACATAAAACCAAAAATAGAATTATTATGGATAAAGTATATAATCATATATAGATTACAATAAAGAATGGATTAAATCGATGAAAAAATGGCCATTAAAATCTTGAATCGGCGGAAAACCCTAATCCGTTAAAAAAAAATTATTACAACCTAACTACAATATTCTATACTGGAATTGAAATTGTTTGTCTATATTTTATAATTATTTTATTATATAAATAATAACAAATTCCAAATATCTTATAGTGTCATCTAATTTAAAATGTATTGTTGACAACTGTCAGAAAAATAGTACATTACATGATTTATAATGTAAATAAATTAATAATAAAATAAAATATTTGGTTATTAATGTAGAAATTTTTAGAATGCATACCAACTTTCGAAATAACACTCTCATTTTCAAAAATTTAATTTTTTAGATTTCTAGAATAAATTTAGTGGAAGAGATAGTTAGTAGAGACAGAGATTTCAAATGTTCTCATTGTATGAACCCTATCGTAAAATTAACATTCCTAAATTTATGTTAAAGATTACTATGTTATAAAAATAAAAATTATAATTAGATCAGTTATTCCTAGGTTGTATTAAAAATACTTGTATTAAGATAGACTTTTTATTTTTTGACAAGAAATACTTGTTGTATTACCTTTTATTTATTTTTTTGACAAGAAAAAAAATATGTTGTATTTCCTTTTTTTGTTCTCGTTGTATTTCCTTTTTTTTTTTACAAGAAAATAAGAAAATGATGCTGCCAAAGTACCTTTTATTTTTATACCTTTTATTTTATATTTTTGTCAAGAAATACTTGTTTTATTACTTTTTTTTTTTACAAGAAAAAAAAGATGTTGTATTACTTTTTTTAAGTAAAACGTATTTTTTCTTTCATCATCGCGACATCAAGATGCATGGACATGAGAAAAAAAATAGATTTCAAGGTTTTAAAAAAGTGTATTTTATAACGCATTTTTGGACCATTAATTTTCAAGATTTTCAAGTTTTCTTAGATCTCTCAATCGACACTATTTTTTGGAAGCTTTAAACTTTATAAATAAAGATGAAAATATGTTTTAAGTCTATCAAAAAGATTTCTAGCATTGAAACCACATTTCTCGACGTTATTTGAAGGTAAGCTCTAATTTGATTGTTTAGAGCCTAGGCTCTATACTAATCGCACCCTTATTTTTTTTTATGATATTACTTTTTTTGTTTTATTTTTTTTTTAATACAATAATTTTTTTTAAGACAAAAAAGCGCACCCTTATTTTTTTTGATGATATTACTTTTTTGGTTTTATTTTTTTTTAATACAATAAAATTTTTTGAAGGCAAAAGTAAATTTTATTTTTTGTTTTATTTTTTTTAATACAATAATGTTTTTTGAAGGCAAAAGTATTTTTTTTTTTTTAATACAATAATTTTTTTTGAAGGCAAAAGTAAATTGATGATATTACTTTTTTTTTTTAAAACAATAAGTTTTTTTGAAGGCAAAAGTAAATTTTTTTTTTTTTAATGCAATAATTTTTTTTGAAGGCAAAAGTAAAAATGCAATAAATTGTCCCTAGGGTTCAACCTTGGGAGGTCCGAAGAAGAACCACAAATGCCAACCACCTGCAATTGCAGGTTGTTGAATAACTTTAATAATATTTATTTTGAATAACGTTTTAACGTTATATCACTCAGCTCAAATCCCACATCGAAGAATTAGAGAAACTTTCAACGCTATAAATACCTCTTTAAATGCCCTTATGGCAAACGTGATGAAGAAGAGATGCGGGAGTACAACTTTAAGCTAAATTACCAAAACATCTTTAGTGATTCGCCAACCCCGTGATGTCGTTATTTGTTAGGAATCGCTGTAAAATCGGTGATTCTCAACTAAAACCGGGCCATTCTTACAC